ACGGTAGACCAGACGTCGGAGGGGAGCGAGGGCGAGCAGGGAGCGAGGAGCAGGGTGGCCGGGAGCCAGTGGGACGGGGCAGAACCCCCCAACTTCTCCACCCACGAGACATCGCTCTTGCCTAGGTGATGGTGGGGCGTGGGGAGGGGCGTGGAGTTGGAAGGGCTTGGTTTACAATAACCAAGAACAGATTCTACTCAGAAGAGATTTCAAGATGTGAAAAAGTGGAAAAGCGAAAAGCGCAAGCGCAGAGGAGCTCGAGTCTGAGCTTTCCTTTTAGCGCCGGTAGGTGTGACCTTAGCCAGGTCCAGGTTAATTTCTCAGGGACAAACAGCGGGTCCTTCCTACGTCACAGCGCCCTAGGTGTGGCAGGCGCAGGTAAAGAAACAGGTGCAGGACAGTAAGTGGTCAGCGGTGTTGGTGTTAAGTCTCATCCCCACGCCCCGCACTGAAGGGGCCAGAGGTGGGGGCGGGGTGGGGAACAGGGGTCGAGCAGGGGCAGACTGGCAAAGTGCAGCTGAGCAAAAACTGTTGTTTTCACAAAATTCACAGGTAGAGGCGGGGAGCATACAGGCCTTGGAGCCTCCCGTCTCTGAGCATCTGGAAGCTCCGAGGTCCAGAAGGACTGCCTCTGGATTCCAGGAACTTCTAGACCGTGCCTCTATCTGTCGGGGGTAAGGGACTATATTTGAAACAAGAGCAGATCGAAACTCTGCTGCTCACTAACTTTGTCACCCTGAGTAAGTCATTTGACCCCCTTGGGCCTTAGTTTCTATACTTAGAGGGAGAGCAGCCGTTCTTAGTTTGTATGGTTGTGGTCAGCCATGAAATAAGTTTTTGTATTTTGCTTACTTGGTAGCTGAAACCAAATCCAAATTTACATAATGTCTCAGCTGTTAAAAGATGAGATCTAGAAGGGATGTTTTCAAGTCTAAGGCCTTTAGGCTCCTGAAAGTCTGGGGTATGAGAAGTGATATGCGTATGCAGAGAGCTGGAAGCGCTGAGAAGACTAGGAAGTTCAGGAGAATTTAGACCTGGGATTACACCATCCAGCGTCGTCCAGGATGCGTGTTCTTTCTACACACTCAAAGATGGATGTGGTTCATCTCTTGGCATTTTTGTCTAAAAGAGTGTTACGAACTGTGGCCTTGTGCATTGTGAAATAAATTTCAAAATCAGCATTACTTCTTTCTATTATTATTTTTTTGTTTAGGTATAGCCAGATGTGTCATTTCTGGTGTACAGCGCAATGCTTCAGTCATACATGAACATACATACATACATTCGTTTTCATATTCTTTTCACTGTGAGCTACCACAAGATATCGAATATAGTTCCCTGTGCTATATGGTATAAAC